TAATCAGAAAGATTTTTCTAATTTACAAATTTACAATTATAAATAATACAAATAAAAATGCAGTAGAACAATTATTTCCATAGCATATGCATTCTATTAGGTATTATATATAATCCAGAGGTAGCTTAAACTATCCAGGAGGATGAGTGTAGGTTCCCAGACCAAGACCCACAGTGATGATGCTGACGGCTGGATGTCAGGAGCAGCCACATCAGTGACTAGCGGGTGGGTAGTGTCTACAGTGTGGCTGTGCTAGACAATTGGATGGCCCAAGTTTGGGGCAGGACAGAGCAGGATGGCATGATATTTCACCATGCTACTCAGAACAGCACACGTTTTAAAATGGATGAATTTGTTTATTTCTGGAATTTTTCTTTTAATATTTTCGGGACCATAGTTGACCACAGGTAACTGAAACTGAGTAAGGTAAAACGGCCTATAAGAAGAGATTAGTCTATATAATGCACAGGTACCATACATTGATTATGTATAAATACATGCATTAAAAGTCCAGTTGAACACTGGAATGCCAGTAGTAGTTATCTCAGAACAATTGGGTGATGGTGAAATTTTGTCTTCTTTAAATTCACCATGTCTAGGAGTTGCATTTGATGCTGTTTCTATAATGAACTTTCATTGTGGAAAGAAAAGCTTGCTCATGTTTATTTTATTGTATAATTCAAGTTGTAATAGCTATACCGATTTTCAATATGAAGGTTTTGTAGTTGTTGTAATTATTTAAATGAAGAAAACTAATTCTTGGGAAATCTGCGGAGAAAAAGGTGGCCCAGGCACGCACCTTAATCACTCTCTAAAGTGGTGTGAGGCAAATATATTTACTCTAAGGTAAATGTTTAAAAGTAAATGTGTGATGATGTGGAAAAAGGATCGAATGCTAAATTTTATTCTATAGAGACGAAATTCATTTAAAGAAACCCAACATTTTATCTGGTTTTCTATGCTTTACATATTCACCTGAAATAGTGATATAAAGTTAGATCTTGCAAATATGTTAATGATCAAATTGCCAGTGAAAACATGTCAAAAGTTGGTAGGTATAAAGAAGCATAGAGCTTGATTCAGAAATAAAATACAGGTACCACGGCTCCAGAGAACTAGGTACAATATCAGAATTATCAAAAAATAAAATAGAAATGCACGTGTGTCTTTGGCAAGGAAGTCAACAATATGTGATACAGATTTTAAAAAATATGTGCAAGACAGGACATTCTAGATGTAAAAAAAAGTTTCTGGATTTTTCAGTCTTCCAGGAGAAACTGCATGCTAAAAAATAAATTTATTCAGAAGTGTTAACTTTAGATTTGAGTGCTTCTCATACTGTTGCAATGCTCACAATGGACACCCCTATCCAACTTCTAACCTATAAGCCCAGATAAATTTGTCACATGCTCCTTTTATGATCGTTTTAATATCAGTGTGTGGATTTATCAAAATTAATATAGGATTGCTGTTTAAAACAATCAAGAAGCAAAGAATGAACAAAAACATCCATTTGTCTGATTGGGGAAGAAATTGTTTTGTGACAGGTATAATTAGTTGGTTTTGGCTTGAGAAGAGTGAGGCAAACCATAGGAAAGTTAGATTCACACAGATGATATGATGAGATAAAGTATGAGGTATTTTCCTAAGGCACTAGAATCCAGCAGTAACTTTTCAGTAAAAATAGAAAATAAATCAACAGAAAACTTCAAGATAAACAATCAACAAATGTCAAAGCTTTTCAATTCTTTATTATTAAAGCACTTGGAATGACATTTAAGGGTCAATTAAAAGTTCTCAGGGGAATCCATTGTCCTTTTTTCTTAGTCACCAGGATTAGTTAACTGTGCCCGGCAAAATGTGACATACAGGTCTTCTATCATTTTTCCCAGAACTTTATTAATGTCATATATACATTACATTATTCAAGCAGAGAATTTCTATTTAAAAATGAATCTCTCATGTATCACTTGTAAACTATTTTCATTTTTGGCTTTTTGCTATTAGAAAACACCAAGCTCCCTGTTAACACCGAGTTTATATTGGCAAGGAGCCTGGGGAGGGCCTGGATTATTGAGTCGTGAGTCACATTACCACATGCAGTACATTTTGTCTGGTTTTCTTCTGTCTCGTATTTGCATATGCATGAGTAAATCCATAGAAGAAAAATAGCACATGAATTGCTTTTACGTGATAGAATGACGTTGGCATATTTGAACTGCTTTGGGTTGTCAGAAACCCCAGTATTAACCGATGATCACTCTGCCGAGTTTAGCCAAGTCACGTCCTTCTCTGTTTCCTGATCAGAAACACAAAAGTCATGATTCCCCCCAAACTTAACAAAACCGTTTGGCTCAGGTGTATGAGAATTTGTGATAAACAATAAATATAAATTACTCTTAAAATTTTGAAGGCAACTAAAAAATCAAAGGGGGTTGGAGAATAGTACAGAGAAGATTTAAAATAATGTGTTCGCAATTTTCAGAGGAGAACTAGATATCAATTTATGTCCGTTTGAAATTTTTTATCTGCAGTGGGAGAAAGCGGAAAAAGAGAAAGAGAATATTTACGTGAAGTCTCGTACGCATGTAGAAGCTTTATAACAAGCATGGAGAGGAAGCAACGCTACTTTCATAAGTTTACAGGGCTGCCTGGGAATGACTTTGGGCCTCAAATTCTTCCCCATACCAAAGAGATCATCATATTCCCTTGCATTTAGGTGAAGCCATTACAAAAGCTCATTAAAATGTAAACACTATCTTGAAAGGCTATTGAAACATTTTCAGTCATTTAGCTATTCAATTACCCAGCAGAGTTTGGAGAGAAAGGATTGCAAGGAGATGCTTTCCTAAATAAAGGAATAAAAGAAGCTAGAACAGGCCCCACTTCTAAGCTTTAGTATGTAGTAAAGAGGACTAGGTCTCTGGACAGGAAATAGCCTAAGTAGCGGCACGGAAGAGAAGACAAAAAAGGAAAGAAGTATTTAAGATTCACAAACAGTTACTAAAATGAGAGTTGTTTGTGTTCACAAAATGCCTGTAAATCAATACCCGGCGTGTACACTTTGACACCAACAGAAGGTAGCATCTTTATACAGAGTTTAGCAAGATATTATGCTTTATTTTATAGATATGAATATTCTACCAGGTTAGTATATTCAAGGCAAAGTTTATATACATAGAAGAAAGAAAGAGACAAACTTACCATAAAATTATAGTTTTATCAGATACAGCAATAAGGAATTTGTTTGAGGTTGTATATACAAGATGAGATGGACTTTTAGGGGAAAGCAGGGAACCAACAAATCACTTGCAGCATGTTTATGGCAGTTGTGCAAAATAAGTATTATTATATTCAGTCTGAAAACTCATTTAAATGTCTCAGAGAGGTTAAGTAACTTGCCTGAAGTCACACAGCAAGTAAGAGCTGGAGGTAGGTCTACAAGTGAGTTCTAACTGACCCTAAAGCCTACATTCTTTTGACTACCCAGTTTGTATGGAAGGAGGATAAAACTTTCAAAATCGTTAACTTTTTTACTTTTCTTGATTGTTTTTCAACAATGTAGTCTAAACGATGGCTCGCATAACCTGTACATCATGTATTTATATAGCTTAAGATTAAACTTATAAAAAAAGAACTTTGTTGTAATTCTGTCATAGCTGCCAACTTCCATGACAAGGCAGAATTTGTGAATTACACTTTTAAACATAATTCTTCGTGGCTTACTTAACAGAATTATGGGCTCCTACCATAAGAGAGCAGGAATTTACAAGTAACAGACGTGCTATTTTCATAATGCAAAGTGCCTGGAAAATACATTGCTTTGCTAACCACATAACTAGCTGTGATAGTTAGCATGATGCTAATACATCAAGCTAATACACCAACATTACCTGATAGCAGAAATACAACCCCATAAATAAACAAGTATTAGGTGGAGGAAAGAGTTATAATTTATTAATTTACTTATCTTGGCAACATAATTACACACAGAGTTCCTCTGTTATTACAACCAGAAGCTGAATTCAAATGCCCTAAAGGCAAGAAGTTTCTCTCCTTACAGCATCCAAAACGTATAAAAGTAAAAAAGTGATTATACTCAACCAAGAGGTATAAACAAGTAGAACTTCCAAGCTAGAGCAATAATAGAGATTGATGCTTGCCAGGGATGCTGTAGAAGGCTGTCTTTTGAAGACATTCACCATGACTTGTTAGAGAAACAAAGACCATACCAGGAATACAGTAACTAATCACCCCTCTATATTTTCACTGTCCGAATGAATGCTTAGGGAAAGACAAACTGAGAAATAACACAACAAAGTAGACATTTTTGGGTATATAATAAAGTACAAAGTATTCTCTACTTAAGCATTTAGTTTTCTTTTAAGCATCACAGAATTCTTGAAAATTTAAATACTAGAGTTAGCCAGCTCTAAAATTTAACTCATGGTTGCAACTAATACTTTGCAAAATTTGAAAATATAAATGTAGTCTGGTAAAACCTGATCAGTCTTTATTGGTAAGTAATATCTTTCAGACACAAGCATTTTTAACTTTCAAAATGTAGAAGCCATTCTCTGATTCCAATTAACCAAACAAATAACAAAGAAAAACTAAAAAACAAAAAACAAAAAACAAAAACCTGTGACCATAAGTTACCGGTAATTTCCAGGAAAATTATCTACATCCATCTAGAACTGAAACAAATGTGATCAAACTGAACTGTGTTAGTTGTATCTCACTTCAACAGGTATTTCTTTTAAAAATCACCAGGTTAATTAATTATTCTTACTAAAATAGAAAAATGTGCCAGTTTGTCCTTTATACTTAATGTCAGCAGCATGAATAATAATCTGGAGCTTAAGATAATTAATACCATACATCCTCGCCTTTGAACAACACAGCTGTCAGCCATGGGGCTTTAAAATTGACAGGCTCTTCAAAGCTATAAATCAGAAATGATGATAATTTTATATAATATTTCTTAAAAAGGCACTTACCTTTTAAATGGAAAACACACTTCTAGCAGCAAATTGCCTGTTAAAATAAAACATATAATTTATTGGTATCCAGTAAATGATATAAAGAATGATGCATTGTTATACTAAGCACAATTACAGCGCAACTTTAAAAAAAAACTTTTCCTGACCTCATTTAGTTTCTTTTTTACCCAAAAAGAAAATCACCTCCTTGGTGGTAATAATTAAATGCTTTTCTGTTCATTGCATGTGCACTGAAACCACAAAAGCTAATGAGTTTCATGTCTGAGAGCAAAAACAGAAATTACAGGGCACATTATCCGGGTCATGGGTGTAGATTAGAGCATATTCCACTCAATGTCTATAATGAGAAGCATGTGGATTAAGGTCTATTCCAGAAAATTTAATGGTTAGGTGTCATAGAGAATTTCATTTCTACTAAATAAAAATAAAATACCACTGGGTAGACTTATTAATATCAAATGCACTCTTTTCAAATATTACATTAGTTATTTGATTTCCTTATATACTTTTCACTGTACTGGATTAACGTCTAAGAGATTTTTATTTACAATACCTCACAAATATCACTGAGATGAAATAAGATAAAATCAAGGTTTCATGCAATGTGTACCAAAGGTTACACTTGAAACAAGCCGGCCAGAATCAATATAATATTTAATCCCAATCAGAGGAAAAGAGGGATAACTAGGAGAAACAGCAGCAGTAGAAGAAACTCTTTTGATTGTTTACTTTCCAGTAGAACCTGAATTGGTTTTCTCAGAAGTGAAAACCAAAAGTATCAAGTATAATTTCCTTAGGAACTCTGCTTTATTTGCATATGCAAGACTACGCAGATGCATTTTTTTTCAGCTGTCTCTGTACGTCACAAATGCTGACGTTGAGTTTCTCAAATTATGGAGAATTGTTTTTAACTTTGTTTTATTGTATCTTCAAAACAAGTAAAATCCCAATGCTTGCAAAATTGATAATGTGTAGATACTAATTTGTAAACAGAGGTAGATCATGTTGCAAATTCATCTCAGTTCACCTGAGTGTTAAATTGTCAGGACAGCAAACTGCTTCTCACTCCAGTTCTAGATTGACTCTCGAATAAGATTTAGAAAGGGGTTGGGTGCTCAGGGATGGATGGAGTGGTCTGGCAATTCTCTCGGCTCCTTGGGAACAGCTCTGCTTCTGAGCAGGCCTTTCTCTCCCGGTGCCCTGTCTGTCATGTTGTACTAGTTGGGATTGCATTTCCTCCCTGATGGTGCCCTCTCAAGCAATTAAAGGCAAAACTGACTAATAGTAAATGAAACAATTAATATAAGTTTCATCCATCTACAGAGATGATTTCAAGATGTCTATGCTTTGATATAAAAAGAAGCATTTAGGGCAAAATAAATTTCTCAAGTTTTAGTTCTGTTCATTTTTGAAAATAAACAATTTATTACTGAACCAGCAAAGAAAAAGTTTTCTTCCCTTACTGCTACCACGATAGCTAAATTTCCACAATCTCTCAAAATGGCTATTACTTTAGTTTGCTCAGAGTCTTTGCAATTCTCTCGCTATTCATGCATCTAACCCCAACCCTAATCCTTTATCCACACAGATGTTAAGAGTGGTTTTTTTTTTTTTAATAAGCAGGTATAATCAACTTTCAATCCTACTTAACTATTGCAACCTTTTCTTTTTATCGCTCATTTAAAATCCTTGACATGGCCTCCAAGACTTGTTCAGAACCCTGCTGACTTCCCTGTTCTAATTTTCCCAGCACCCTCCTCACTCATCATGCTGCAGAGACACTGGCCTTTCTTGTGTTGCTGAAATGTGCATCCCTGTTTCCTTTCTCAGGCTTGGGACCTTAGCAAACGTGAGAGCTGAGAAAGCCACTTCCCTCATCTAATTCTTGCTCTAACTTTTGAATCCCAAACATCCTCTCATTAAAGAGTCTTCCTCGAATCCTAAGCTGGATCCCTTTTGCAATAGTGGAATTGTCTTTTGCTCAGTTTTCCATTTTCCAGCATTGCAGAGACAAATTCTGACCTCTGCTTAATCCCCTTTTGGATAGAGTGGACATAAAATTTATTGCTCACACTGGAAAAGTTTTGAGATTTAAAGAAGGAAGTAAATGAACAAGATGCTAGCACCCTAATGTGATCCAGCACTGGGTTCGGCAAACCAGGGGCATATGGTCAACCACTCTGTGGAGGAAAAGTTACCATTTTGTCTTGAGGTTGTCCAACATGACCTAAAGGGACAAGATGCAGGTAGCTGATGAGCTTGGAAAGCTGATGGCTACTCACATGACGTGTTATACAAACAGAGTTAAAGTGTGAACAGTTTTTAGTGTTTTTCCCTGTTGTAAACAACTGTGATAAAACATTTCCCTAAACAGCTCAAAGTAACATCACAACAGTATGCAATGAATGTATCAGGTTATAAAGAGCTGGACTATAGCCCAAATCAAGGCCACCAATTAAGCGATATCTGGGCTTCATTCTGCACAAGCCAGGGCTGTAATTTCTCAGTCTTGCTGCCAACTTCTCTCTGGTTAGAAGCACATTCCTATCCATCAGCTTACCAATCAAGGGCTGCAGCCACTGACTTTAACTCTTCTACCTGAGTGCACTGGTGATGGACATAAGGACAGTGGAAGAGAGGTGGCCATTTAGCTCTTCTCACAGCTTTGCAAAGTCCTCTTTGAAAATATTTTAGGGTGAGACATGAATACTATTTTAGCGTGAGGAGGGGCAATAGACTCTTCCCTTCAGAAACTCATCTTCAAATGAACTCTCCACAGAAAAGATAAAGAAGAAAAAGCTGGGAGGCCAGTTGTGGTGGCTCATGCCTGTAATACCAGTGTTTTGAGAGGCCAAGGTGAGAGGATCACTTTAGGCTAGGAGTTTGAGACCAGCCAGGGCAACATAGTGAGACCCTCATCTCTCTCTGTATATATAGTTTTAAGTCAACTGGATGTAGTAGTCCATGCCTATAGTCCCCGTTACTCAGCAAGCTAAGATGGAAGAATTGCTTGAGCTCAGGAGTTTGAGGTTACAGAGAGCTATGACTGGATCCCTCCAGTCTGGGTGAGACAGTGAGACCCTGTCTCAGAAAAAAAAAAAAAGAAAGAAAAGAAAAGAAAAAAAGAGCATGGGTATTTTGATTTTTGAAATGAATCACCTTTTTTGACACGTTCAATACGCTGGGTAAGTTTATCTGTTTTTGTGAGGATGTGTGTGTGTGTGTGTGTGACACGGGAGTTATTGGGTGTGCAAGGTAACTTATTTTTCGTTATTTGAAGGTTGAAGGGAAAGAGTGAGTGGGATTTAATCAGACAATCAGACAATGACAAATGGATAGGCAAAGGTCAAAGACATGGGGAAACCTCACAGCCGAGAATATTTCCAGGGTGCTCACTTGGCCCAAATTAGAGAAAGCCTTTGAAGGAGGAAATCATTCCGGAAGGCCTAGATCAGTATGCTGCTTTAAGATGATCCAAATTTTTAAGTGGAAGAAATGTAGATCATTTTTAAAAGGTAGGCTGGTATATTTCTGTTTTGGATAATCAAGTTAGCAAGGTGGTGGATGGCTACACCGAATGAAGCAAGCTGGTTAAGAGACCTTCACATTAACTGACACAATGGCCATGAGAATGTAAATAAAGAGAGAGGCTCCCAAGGCATTTGGAAAGCATAACTGACAGTTTTAACTATCTGAGGACAGAAGTTTATGGAATATCATTCTGATTTGGGGCTTAAGTGACTGAAGCACCATTTACTAATGCAGTGATCACAAGAGAAACAAAAGGGGTACAAAATTAGGGAAGGAGAAAATAATGAGTTTGTTTTCAGATTTTTTAAGTTTTAGATTTTTCAAGTTTAGCAAAACACTCAGTAGACTGGGCTCAGCACTTTTACACACATTACTCTCATTTTATAATTGAGGACATTAAGAGATACTGTGTACATTATCTTAAGGCCTTACAGCTACTATGTGGTAAGGAAAGGATTTTACTTCAATTCCGTGACTTGAAGCTCCATCCCGTGACTTGAAGCTCCATCCCTGCTACAGAACTGGCTGGACAGCTTTTGAAATTATACCTGTGTACCACAGTTTCTTTATCCGGAAAATAATGGAGGTATCTCTCCTTTTGATTACCTGAGATACGTATTAGAATGTTAAGATTTAGTAAATAAGGCAAAAAATCTATAAAGTGAATATACTAGCTGGCCTTGATGTAAGATCCTTTCAAAATCTAATCATTGATGGGAAATATCTTGTCAAAAAACAAAATGGAAATGGTTGTGTGGCACTGCCCTACCATTCCACATAGATTCCACTTAATTAGGGGACCAAAAACCATGTCCATGTCTACATTGGTAGAGGACAGTGGATATGGAGCATGAAAAGGACCAGATGGCTCTTAAAGTTGAATCGGTTACCTGGCAAGACATTGACTCTGAATATTTTCATTTCTCTCTGTTTCAGACTGGCCTCTAATGTTCTTTTAATGCAGATTTTTATTTGTGCATTTCATGGGTTGTTATGTGAATCTGTTGCTGCTGAGTATGTTGAATCTTAAGCCTTTTGTGAAAATTAGCATTATTCTTTGTAGTTATGAATAACAAATATATTCCTTTTGATAGAAAGGACAATTAAAATGTTTTATAGTTATCTTTATTCTTAGATTTTGCTCATATTGATTTATTTAGATTGTAATCATCACTAAACTTAAAAAGATAGTATCAAATAAGAGCAGGTTATATAATGTCTATTTTGCTCTTTGCTAGAAATGGACCATTACAATGCCAAAATGCATTACTGGAGTAATTTATTTTCCTGGTTTTCGCCCTCCCCCCCTCTACTGTGAAGATATGTTAGTGTATTCATCTAAGGTCTTGCATTTTTAGAGATGATAAAAAAGAATTTGTCATGCATACCATAAAGCAGAAATATTATTTATCACTGAAGTTAGTAGAGGGTTGAAACATGTTTAATTGTACAGAGTATGCAGCAGTAAGTCAGCTTGTGGAATTTTAAAAAGTTGCATTTAGG